TTGAAGCCCAAGGTGTATGTGAGTTTCGTGAGGCACGGATGGAGGAAATGAGTTTGAAGGAACAGGTTGAGCTTGCGGCGAGAAGTACGGTTAGTTTATGTGATATGCTTTTGCTTTGCCCTTCGCTGGTGCTGATGGAGTCCCCTCTCTCTTGCCCTCCGTTTCGTTATCTCTTTCCCTTCCCCCTTTGCTTTGCTTTGCGTGTGCTTCCTTTTCTGCCTTCGCTCACCGGCCGCAGATTATTATCGGCGTTCATGGCAATGGCCTGACTGTGAGCATTGCCTAATTGCGATTCTCCATGCCCAAACTGACGTAGAATACACCGCTAGCATGAGCTCTGGATGGCGCCCTCGCACCGGTCTGCCGTCTTTGAGATCTTTAATCCAGAAGGTAGGTCAGCTGAGGGGCGATTGCAGCGCGATGTTCCTCAGTTCAACACTTGTTATCAGTGACCTGACATGCCTTTTTGTTGAACAATAGCATATCTTTTCGATTACGAGCTCCTTGCTCGGAATGTTGGACATCGGGTCCGTAACTTCCGGCCTCATTGTCCACAAAAATCGCTGACCAGTGCATTATGACTCTATATGCTTCGTCATCACAAATTGATTCAAAATGCTATGCTAACATGTATAGCACACTGCTGTCTGGGACGACCGGTTCATCACGTATCCGCTAGGAAGCTATCATGACGTGCGTGCTGGTTCTCTCTTCTCGATCGAATAGCATTACCAGTATGCTGACCCTGCCCTATTTATGCTTAGGGCATAGAATACGGGGACGACTTTCACGGGAGTGAGTGTTGATTTATTCGTTGAGAGCTTTGACTTCCCATCCTATTGTGGGGGAAAACTTTGGCCTAGAACTGACCAATGGCTGGTCTGATTTTTTTTTGTTAATTAGCGAGCATTCCGGTGAACGCTGCGGCGTTGGCGGAGGCAGTGAAAGAAGTACTCACAGAGAAAGCCCGCTGAGCTGATGAGTTGATCGAAGGCTATTCAAATAATAGACATCCTCAATGGTAAGTTGGTTCAGACGTTATATGCGGCCCATAGACACTGACGAGCACGTCTTGCACTTCTGTACTAGTAACTTTGCCATGTATACATGTACCTGCCATCGATGAAACTTCTACCTCTTTAGAGGGTGTCGGTCATAAAATAAAGATCCAGAGGAGCGCGAACTCAGCTATCCAATTCAGTATCCGCTACAACCAAACCTGAGTCTTGAACCTCAATCCGTCGTGCTCCTTTACCCTTCTGACCGGCTCGCCCCGACGCAGCAACTTTTCCAGAGCCTGGGTGATCAGAGCTCGGCGCACAAGACGTACTGACGCTTAACTGTAACGGACATTTTCATATGACCCACTATCAGGACGAGACGCGCGCTTTCTCCGCAGATCCTTTTTTAGTTGGACGTGCCTTGAACTTCCTTCTTGCTCCAAATCTATCACATATTGACATTTCTTGCGCTCGTTGCTGCATCTCATCGTGTGTTCTTCGCCGCAAAAAGATTGCATGTGGTGGATCCGCGACACAGCTCGGCTCCAGGAGCTGGGGGAGAAAGTGTTGGTGCATTCAGCACCCAGGAAAGGTAAATGGGCAGCTACAAGGGGTGCCGGGGAGTTCCGATAGGAAGTTTGTGCGTAATTGCGGGGATTGCTTCTGGGCTGTGGCCGTTCTAGCTTGGGTGTATTTGTTGGAGACGGTTCTCGCCACATTAACTTGAAGACAACGTCACGACATGAAGTCTTCCGCCTTAATCGCAGTCGGTCCGTCGTTTCTTGTCCTTCCACTAACTCCTCGGCCAATATTCTTATGGATATAAAAGCCACGTCGATCCCAGGAACCACATCCGCTGGCCCTCCATGTTCTCTTCCTTTTTCTCCAGTCCCCACAAGGAGGCATGGTGCGTTGATCGTCGTATAATACATCCATATATTACTAACATGCAACTCCTGTTAGTGTGCGCAAACAAGTTGAGCGCCAGGCAACTTTGGACGCTCTTTCTCCCGACTGTTCCACTCCACTGTCTTTATCTGAACGGAAAATCCACGCTCTTTCTCTCTCCCAACTCGTTGCAGGATGCAAGGCCGGCGAAATCAATCCAGCGGACGTCATGGCCGCATACACCAAGAAAGCCGTTGCAGCACAAGCGGCAACTAACTGTCTGACTGACCTAATGTTTGACGAGGCTTTGCGTATACCAGCCGTTGCCAATGGGCCGCACAACACCGATCTCGACGCCTTTGATTCAGTCCGTGACCGCTCATTACTCGGTGTACCGGTTAGTATTAAAGGTAAGCTTATTTCCTCATCAGTCACTCGAAGTATCCAGGCTGATGTCATCTAGACACCGTCGACTTTGCCGGACACGATACTACTATAGGCTTCTCTCGCAATACTAACAACCCCGTCTCATCATCCTCTGCGATTGTCCGACTTCTACAAGACAATGGCGCCTTAGTCCACGCAAAAACCACTGTCCCAACTGGCCTTCTCGGCCTTGAAACCAGCTCCGAAGTATTTGGCCGCACTTCAAATCCATATAAGGCCACACATACCGCAGGCGCATCGACAGGGGGAGGAGCGGCTCTCGTCGCGTGTGGTGGTAGCAAAATTGAGATTGGCTCTGATCTGGCGGGGAGCGTCAGGATACCTGCTCACTTCTGCGGCATCTGGAGTTTGAAAGGCAGTGTAGGCAGATTCCCGTCATGGGGAAACCACTCGTCGATGGAGGGGTTGGAGGGTATTCAGCTCGTCACTTCGCCAATGGCCAGCAGCCTGGAAGATCTGGACGAATTTTGGAAGCGGGTAGTAATGGCAAAACCTTGGGAGTACGATCACACGGTTCGTTGTGCCACCATCTAGCATTATTTTGGGTGACTGACGTTACGCAGTGTCATCCAATCCCTTGGAGGGACGTAGACCTTCGAGAGGATGGGCGAAAGTTGAAATGGGGGATCATGTTGGAAGGAGGTGAGTTCGATTCGTTTGTCGTCCTCTAAGCTTCTTGTTTAAAAAAGTCTTCCAGGCGCGGTTCCGATTACCCCAGCATGCAAACGTGCCCTGTCCATGGTCGCTGCCGCCCTTCGAAAACAAGGACACGAGGTTGTCGAGTTGTATGTTCCGTCATTTCCTCGTGTTTGATCAATTGCTAACTGTCTCCTTCAAGTGTTCCGCCGAACATGGAACGGGGACTCAACATTGCTTATCAGCTGCTCTTTAGCGACGGAGGTATGCAGCTCAGCTTGCACTCAATATCAGTCCTGGGATTTTGAAGTTATGCGTAGGAGAACAAATACGGTCTCTCCTCTCACTGAACGAGAACGTCTCTAAAGCCTCCTCTTCCGTCCTCGATCTCCTCTCCCTCCCCAAATCTTTCAAGCAATTCCTTGCATACCTGACACGTAAATCCGACCCTGCCTCTGCAACACTCCTTCGCATCATGCACCCCAAAACCGTCACAGAGCTCCGTACACTGACCGCCCAACGAGAGACGTATAGGGCAGAGTGGCATGAGAGCTGGAGGGAGAAAGGCCTCGATTTCGTTCTCACAGTACCCCATCCGTTTCCGGCCTTTAGGCACGGAGAATCGGAGAAGGTGAACTTGATGACGGCAGCTTTCACCACTATCTTTAGCTTGGTAAGTCCTTGATTCCGCGCATCGGTAGATAGCCGCTGATGCCACCCCTCACTTGCTTTTCGTTCCCCTTTTGCTTCCTCTATCCGCCCCGTTCCTTACCTTTTCATCATGTGATTGCATCGACGATGATCCTCTCTTTGGCTTCCTCACTATCACTTGTCCATCGCCATCTCATGGTTTCCACATATAGCTAGACTACACAGCCGGAGTGATCCCAGTAACCTTCGTCAACAAGGAGCTTGATTGTCTACCGGCGGATTTCAAGGTAGACTCACCGCTAGGCACGCTTGCCTATTCAGTCTACGATGTCAATGACATGCATGGCCTACCACTTGGTGTCCAGATAGTTGGGAGACGACTTGAGGAAGAGAGGGTCCTGGAAGGTATGAAGATCGTGCAGTGTGCACTGAAAGAGCAGGAGAGTGTATTTTCAAGGCAGGTTGATGTTGAAGTGTTGTCTACCACCCAATGAAAGGGAAAGCTATCGAGGGTGTTGCGGACTCGACTTCTGCCCGGGTGAGAAGGCTCGACGTATTTTATTACTTATTATCATTATCTCTGCTTCTCCTCTGTACAATTACTTTTGCGGCCGCGACGTATGTACATGTAGTAGCTTTTTGGACGCTCAATTCACTCTCTCGAACCTTTCCACACAGACATCATAAACATGCATATTCATCAATATTTTCCCATAATGTGCAGAACCAGGCACTGTCTCCAGGAGCAAATCCACATACGACGTCGATCATTACAATGCCTTGAGGTTCTGAGTTCGAGGAGAACTTGCACTGGATGGCTGCGAAGGAGCCCTCTAGATGAACCGCATGCAGGATCTGCTCCCACTACACCCACACAACTCATACGTCTCCGCGTTCGTGCAGTTCTTGTCGCGCATCAGGCTGATGACAGTGACGCAGATGCAAGTGGAGAAGCCGGCAAGTTTATGCCATGCAAAGGATATCGGCATGGTTACTGAGCAAGTTCGAGATGAGGAGCCAGGAGTTGGTCAAGGCCAAGTCATGGCATCCATACCCATGCCATGATCGATTCGATGGTTCATTGGTAGTAGGGGGTTTTAGAGCAGAAAAGGGAGGGGAAAGGGCGAAGATCGGCATCCACAGTTCATTCAAATGCTTGTGAAGGTTACTCGATAAGCAGCGGAGTACTTACAAAAGTGAGTAAAAGGCACATCGGAGTGGCACCGTCAGAGGAGTCAAGTACGGATATAAATTCTATGATTTAGGAATCTGAAATGGAGGCCGGCCATAGGAATTGTACTGCGAAGGAGCTTGAATTGCTGTTGCCCTGCTCCACTTTAGCCAGAAAAAACCATGACTGTCATAATATTCAACAAGAGGCTCTACCAGGGTTCGAACCTGGGTTTCGGGAAATTCAAATAGAGTCAAAATCCCGAGTGATAACCACTACACTATAGCGCCACATACGTATTCATAATGCTAAGTTATCTGTCTGCAGGACCAAACTGAACGCAGCAACAGGTATGTTTGGAACGATATGTTCTTTGGACTTAATTGCGCGCATTAAGGAATCCACTGGAAGCGAATTTATTCTGGAAGTCGATCTTTTCTTGGCCTAATCTCGATAGATGTACCTACCACTTTTAGGTCACCTGGAATAGAGTAGAAAAAAGTTACCAGAATCCACTGTGGCATCTAAGGGAGTCTTATTACGGCAATCCATGCAAAGAAGAAAGGAAAGCGCTGGCCGTACCTGTTACAAAAAGCTGGAACAGTGCTGAAGACGATAAGCTCTGTGTATATCTAGTATGATTACTGAACAGGTCACAGGAAGGGACAAAATTAATGTGTTGGTCGGTGCAGGCACTACCAGGGTTCGAACCTGGGTTACGGGAAATATGATGATCAAAATCCCGAGTGATAACCACTACACTATAGCGCCTCTGTGTGGCGCAAGGTGCTCTGACAACGCCTCTGGCATCGCTTGAAGGCAGTGGGACCTTGACTCCTAGCTATGGTCTCCAGGAGCGCCTCGCACCAGTACAACTATATGTGAGTACATTTCGGTGCATTCCATAATGATGAGCGCAGGATGGCGTTAGGAGTGCATTACCTCGATTTATCCTACGGAATTCAATGGTGCAGGCTGAGACGTCTGAAAAATCATCCCCATCGTCAAACTTCGGGCAACAAGTATATATAACGAGACTTTACAGCGAATAACCGGTCTGTGCGAAGGTAAAAAAGTTGTACTCAAGCGTTCCCAAGTTCGTACACAAAACTGGCTGCGACCTTGGCGAACTCATGAACATGGGCCCACGAAAATCCGGGGACCGTAACAAAGTCCGATTGTGTGCCCCTGAAGGGATTTATATCGCTCCAACGGCCCTCAGCCGGCATGACTGTCGGGTAGCCTTTGCAGTACCAGCTTGCGTGGTCGGAGCAAGCGTAAGTGCACTGTTGTCCAAAATGTGTTAACGAGTATAATGAAAACATGCTAGATAGACTTGCGTTATTGCTGTCGACGGGAGGGACGGTAGAGTAGGTCTGAATGAGGGACCGAACGAAGTTAATCAGAGCAGGGTCTGCATAATTCTGAGCTAGAATAAGCTGCCATGCCATGGTAATTTTTGTAAGCACTCACGGGAACAAGGCCAAAGACGGGCTCGGTTCCAGGCTTCACACTACAAACGCATATACTATTAAGACCACAACGAATGATTGGAGGGACTTTTACGCACTATGCCGCAGCATCGATATTCAGTAAAGCGTGCACTTGTTTACCGGCGTCCTTGTAGTTCTTGGAAATCTGAAGTGATCCAAGGTTGCCCATGAATTGCGCTGCGTACCTGAGAATGACAGGGATATAATTCAACGCACATAGCACATAAAGCTAGGCTTACCAATGGAACTCGACGGGCCTTGAAGGCCTAAAACCACTAGCGAGCAAAGCGTTGATCGCTTCAATAAGAGTAGCAGAGCCAGTAGCATCACTATCTGCGCCCTGATTCGGGTCAGTCAGAACATCGGGATTGAAAGTGTCCACATGTGCGGTGATAATAGTGATAGGACCATTCGATGTGCCAGGGATCTTAGCAATGACGGAAGGCTGTTTGAAGCTGTGGGGGAAGAGCTCGACAGTAGCGCCGCTGGGTGGGTGTCGCGAGATGATCTATTATGTTATTAAATACCAACTAGATCATTAGTTATTGAAGAGATTGACATACGTTTTGGACCATGGCAAGAATGTAGTTCGACGCTTCAACTCCAGCATCCTCCGCAGCATCTCGATTCTTGAACTGAATAAGAGTTTGGACGTATTGCTGGATGCTTGGGAGGGACAGACGATCAATAATCGGTCTGACCGCGGTTTGCTTGGAAGGCGCCGGGTCTGAGGAAAACTATCAGATATAATGATATAATATTGTCTAAAGAGAAGTACGGACACGGTGCGTGGGCAGGCCCTGCCTGGCAGTTAGGCGGTGCCTCAGACTCATACACCTCGGTAACATCAAACTGTGAAGGTGATAAAGTCGTCAATTGGCAGAAACGATATCGTCGAAAAAAAGGGACCCACAAAGCCAACTCGATTGCGCACGAGATCGAGTTTCTCGTCTTGAGTTTTCCATACAGGATCAGCGCCATCCTCAAGGCTGATCAGACGAAGGCCTTTCGCTCTGCCTCTCTCAAGATCAGCATGAGAGATCTTGGCGAAGGCGGAGGATGTCGCGATTGCGATGCACAAGAAAGAGTAGAGAAGCTTCATGGGGTTTGTGGAGGGTAAGTAGGGGGATGCTCCTGATTCTTAATCCGACAGTACAGCTTTTAAATGCATAATGTGGAGGTGCAGTTGCCGGGCTCCTTACTTTCTCAAGGGCCCAATAAGGGCTAGTGGATCACCATCAAGTTCCATATCGAAACGTTTGGGCGCCATCCAGGTGAGCTACTACTGATCTTTGCAGTCAGTGCCGAGACGAGAGGGAAGCGAGCACTGTGGGCCAGAGTTGAACGTTGAACCCTGTTACATGATGGTCATGTTGGACAAGAACCTAGACGGCCCTTAGGCGACAGAATGAATGCTGAGTGACAATCGTATTCTCTTCGGTCGTTTCTACTGTTTGTGGGGCAAACGAACTACAGGCTGCTAATGGTATAGCGTCCGGCGACAGAGAATTCCGGTTTGGCACCTATTGTTAGTTTTATTAACGGGAAATTCAACGAAAGAGGAGTTTCTTTGGAAAGGTTGGAAAGAACGTGACACTCGTGTACTTGTGACATTGCGCTTCGGTATGACTCATCATGTTCCTTGACTCCATCCTGCTTCGAGACCACCGCACTTCCAAGCATGAGTCGGTGTTGGTTGAGCGTTTGTTGGAAGACATGATGGTAGTAGACAAGAAGTTGACGCGTTGACGCGTCCATTATGACAGAAGTCACGAGATTCTCACACTTTTTTTTTTTTTTCGAAGTCTGCTTTCTCAGGACCATCACTAAGTACTCTCAATGTCATATCGTTGCATTCATTGTCATCTGTTCTTTGAGGACGAGGAGAGTCTGAGGAGACGACATCAAGGTGAGGACGATGAGAAGGTACATAGTCGGATTCAAAATGTGATGTGATCCGGTCAAATAATGATGGCAAAGGAAAATCATTCCATATTAGATATGCCCATCCTTCTTGCCTGAATAGATTCACATTTAATAATGACTCGTCATTAGGGTGAAGACCTCAAGTAATTATCATTATGACATTGAAATGAGATGGGGCTCATAACAATTACTGTGGCATTAGAAGGGTCACAAATTCTGACAGTTAAATACTTGCGTAATCTTTCCTCGCGACTTTATTGTACAGGTTTCATTGGTCTCAAAAATAATTGAACCGTACTGAGAAACGACGCATTGATAATGACTATATTATCACAATACATAATGTCCTCTCATTTGAGGATGTCGCAATAAGAGGTCCAACGGCATGTTTGTCCAAGTATTGGACAAGCCGTTTTGCCGATGAGTGGCCTCAATGTATACAGCACCTCTCTGGATGAGCGTTTACTGACTGCCCGAACTTTCCACGCCACCAGGGAATATGCAACGACCGGCCTCAAGAAAACAGCTTCTTTGGTATGCCTGTAACCTACCTGGCGCTACTTAGCCTTCCTAGGCCCAGAGAAGAAACTATGTGGCAGTAGACCTTTGGATCGCACAAGCTCGGTTCTGGAAATTTGCTAAGAGTCATGAGCGGAATTTGCATAGATCACGTCAATCCCAAGATGCGCCTTCCTGCATTTGCTTGTTGCGTTCTTCTCTCCCGAGGATCATTAGTGGTTCAGAGTCCAGACAGCATGGAATGCTCAATTATGCTTGTACTCCAGTTCTTTATCTCATTTGCTGTGGTGCCTTGTTGCTCGCCGAGATGGAGTCCTTTATGACGACATTCAGTCTGTCGTTCGAAGCCGATTCGGAAAGTCTGATGCGTAAGTAACGTTCTCACAATCAGCGTTCATTCCATGAAACTTGGCGTGTTATTCTTGAAGCGTTTCTCCGAAGGTATTGCAGCTCGAATGTACGACGTTGTGAGTACATGTTCGAAGAGAGTTAATATCAGTTCATTTGAGCTTGCGACACCAAGCTGAGTATAGGAACCCTGGTGATGGATGATGATGAAGAAGTTCGAATAACGCCAGCAAGCTACACTAGGAGGCGGGAAAATAACTCTGCCTAGGGCCTAGCGAAGTCTAACGAAGTGTCGGAATCTGATGCGCACGGAGGGTCAACCGCCAAGGTCTGAATGCTAGAATGTACGAATGTGTATTCGGCTGATTGCGACTTGGGAAGAGAAGTTCCGGCTTAGTCGTGAAGAGGTTAGAATGTATTTTCTGCTTTCTGACAGCACAAATAAATTAGTATGCAAAATACCATCATAATGACTGATGCCTCGTATACGAGGTGAACAGTAACTCGCGCTCCTCTTCTGGATCCGAGTCCGATCCTCGCGAACTACTCTTCCACTTTCTCAAGACCCCCATGACTGAGAATACAATTTGCTTCGTCAACCACTGCCTTGCTCTCCACACGCCAAAAGCACGTCCATCGATTCGGTCTGGTCGGACGCGGTGCTCTACGTCGACAGTAACCGAGATGACCGAGACGACTGTAAAGATGGACGCTAAAGCTGTTGCTGAGGATATCATGAACATTATGATCATCTGCAGACGCGCCGCCTGCTCCACGGACGATCCACCAAGGATTGCACCAGTCATCATTCCAGGTATAGATATGATTCCAATAACACTACATGACTCTGAGTTAGGAGCGTAGCGTAGGCAAGGTGTGAGGTCACGAACCTCATTTGATTGATGACAGGCGTAAGAGCCAAACGGAGGGCGTCAAGGGCAACGGGCCTACATGCTTCCATCCGGGAGGCGCCAAACGCAAGGTGCATCTCAACCTTATCTCGATTTTCACTATCAAGCAATGAGAACAGTTTGGGGGTAAGAAGAGTTGGGCTTACTGTAGCTCTTTCAATATGTAGTTAACAGAGACAACGATTCCTGAGATGGTGCTTCCACAAAGCATTCCGACAATGGGAACTGCGCAAGGCCATAAGTAGATATTGGATCAAGAAGAGATTAGGACGGACTATAGTGCACAGGCGTCCAAAAGGGATGGCTTGACATCGCAAACTGCGAACCAATTATTGAGATGGGTATTGTCGATCCCAGCATCGCAATAAGTACTGATGGAAGCTAGAAGCAGTTAAGTCACCTAGGTGCACATAGAATGTAAACCAAAAGTTGACCATGTAGTGATGTCGTCGTTTGGATTTATTGGCAACTACAACTTAGACTATTAGGAATACCGCTCCTTGATCGTGACCATTCGCGTGCACTTACCAATCTCGAATGTTCCGAGTAGATTGAGGAGCACTTAGCTGCAGGT